TTCAATTCCATGCTTCAATTCCATGCTTCAATTCCATGCTTCAATTCCACGCTTCAATTCCACGCTTCAATTCCACGCTTCAATTCCACGCTTCAATTCCACGCTTCAATTCCACGCTTCAATTCCATGCTTCAATTCCATGCTTCAATTCCACGCTTCAATTCCATGCTTCAATTCCACGCTTCAATTCCATGCTTCAATTCCATGCTTCAATTCCATGCTTCAATTCCACGCTTCAATTCCATGCTTCAATTCCACGCTTCAATTCCATGCTTCAATTCCATGCTTCAATTCCACGCTTCAATTCCATGCTTCAATTCCATGCTTCAATTCCATGCTTCAATTCCATGCTTCAATTCCATGCTTCAATTCCATGCTTCAATTCCACGCTTCAATTCCATGCTTCAATTCCATGCTTCAATTCCACGCTTCAATTCCATGCTTCAATTCCACGCTTCAATTCCACGCTTCAATTCCATGCTTCAATTCCACGCTTCAATTCCATGCTTCAATTCCACGCTTCAATTCCACGCTTCAATTCCATGCTTCAATTCCATGCTTCAATTCCACGCTTCAATTCCATGCTTCAATTCCATGCTTCAATTCCATGCTTCAATTCCATGCTTCAATTCCACGCTTCAATTCCACGCTTCAATTCCACGCTTCAATTCCACGCTTCAATTCCATGCTTCAATTCCATGCTTCAATTCCATGCTTCAATTCCACGCTTCAATTCCACGCTTCAATTCCACGCTTCAATTCCACGCTTCAATTCCATGCTTCAATTCCATGCTTCAATTCCACGCTTCAATTCCACGCTTCAATTCCACGCTTCAATTCCATGCTTCAATTCCACGCTTCAATTCCACGCTTCAATTCCATGCTTCAATTCCATGCTTCAATTCCATGCTTCAATTCCACGCTTCAATTCCATGCTTCAATTCCATGCTTCAATTCCATGCTTCAATTCCACGCTTCAATTCCATGCTTCAATTCCACGCTTCAATTCCACGCTTCAATTCCACGCTTCAATTCCATGCTTCAATTCCACGCTTCAATTCCATGCTTCAATTCCATGCTTCAATTCCATGCTTCAATTCCATGCTTCAATTCCACGCTTCAATTCCACGCTTCAATTCCACGCTTCAATTCCATGCTTCAATTCCACGCTTCAATTCCATGCTTCAATTCCATGCTTCAATTCCATGCTTCAATTCCATGCTTCAATTCCACGCTTCAATTCCACGCTTCAATTCCATGCTTCAATTCCACGCTTCAATTCCATGCTTCAATTCCATGCTTCAATTCCATGCTTCAATTCCACGCTTCAATTCCACGCTTCAATTCCATGCTTCAATTCCATGCTTCAATTCCATGCTTCAATTCCATGCTTCAATTCCACGCTTCAATTCCATGCTTCAATTCCATGCTTCAATTCCATGCTTCAATTCCACGCTTCAATTCCACGCTTCAATTCCATGCTTCAATTCCACGCTTCAATTCCACGCTTCAATTCCATGCTTCAATTCCACGCTTCAATTCCATGCTTCAATTCCATGCTTCAATTCCATGCTTCAATTCCATGCTTCAATTCCATGCTTCAATTCCATGCTTCAATTCCAGCTCAATTCCATGCTTCAATTCCATGCTTCAATTCCATGCTTCAATTCCACGCTTCAATTCCACGCTTCAATTCCATGCTTCAATTCCATGCTTCAATTCCATGCTTCAATTCCACGCTTCAATTCCACGCTTCAATTCCATGCTTCAATTCCACGCTTCAATTCCATGCTTCAATTCCATGCTTCAATTCCATGCTTCAATTCCATGCTTCAATTCCATGCTTCAATTCCATGCTTCAATTCCACGCTTCAATTCCATGCTTCAATTCCATGCTTCAATTCCACGCTTCAATTCCACGCTTCAATTCCACGCTTCAATTCCATGCTTCAATTCCACGCTTCAATTCCATGCTTCAATTCCATGCTTCAATTCCATGCTTCAATTCCATGCTTCAATTCCACGCTTCAATTCCACGCTTCAATTCCACGCTTCAATTCCATGCTTCAATTCCACGCTTCAATTCCATGCTTCAATTCCATGCTTCAATTCCATGCTTCAATTCCATGCTTCAATTCCACGCTTCAATTCCACGCTTCAATTCCATGCTTCAATTCCACGCTTCAATTCCATGCTTCAATTCCATGCTTCAATTCCATGCTTCAATTCCACGCTTCAATTCCACGCTTCAATTCCATGCTTCAATTCCACGCTTCAATTCCACGCTTCAATTCCATGCTTCAATTCCACGCTTCAATTCCATGCTTCAATTCCATGCTTCAATTCCATGCTTCAATTCCATGCTTCAATTCCACGCTTCAATTCCATGCTTCAATTCCATGCTTCAATTCCACGCTTCAATTCCATGCTTCAATTCCACGCTTCAATTCCACGCTTCAATTCCATGCTTCAATTCCACGCTTCAATTCCATGCTTCAATTCCATGCTTCAATTCCATGCTTCAATTCCATGCTTCAATTCCATGCTTCAATTCCATGCTTCAATTCCACGCTTCAATTCCATGCTTCAATTCCATGCTTCAATTCCATGCTTCAATTCCACGCTTCAATTCCACGCTTCAATTCCATGCTTCAATTCCATGCTTCAATTCCATGCTTCAATTCCATGCTTCAATTCCACGGCACTCACCAGCGGAAGAGGAGTCGCACAGGGGGATCCCCTCGCACCCCTGCTACTCGCGGCGTCTATCCAGCAGCACCTCAGGCACGTGGCAGCGGAGCACCCGGAAGTCACCGTCCTCGCGTACGCAGACGACATAACCATGATTGGACCCGCGACGGCGACGCTAGACGCGCTAAGGGAGCTCACGCCACTACTAGCACAGGATGGCCTCACCTGCAACTTTATGAAGTCGTCGGCGTGGTCCTCCATGCCGCTTGGAGGTGTCGTGCTCCCTGAAGGCCTCCCCCACACCCACGAGGGGGTACGGGTGTTGGGAAGTCCTGTGGGGTCGCAGAGCTTCTGCTCTGCCTGTGTCCGCAGTACCCTGACAGACGCGGCAGCCCCCTTGGGTTCTCTGGCGTCCATCCACCCACAACATGCCCTCCTGCTACTGTCCCGTTGCATCAGCCGCAGAATCAACTACCTGCTACGCACTACCCCAGCAGACGTCTTACCCCTCTCGGAATGGCACACATGGTGCTCCGAACTACTGCACACGGCCTTGACCGCCGCCAGCATTCAACCGCCACGCCGAGAAGCCGAGTTCAACTTCCTGCTCCAACAAGCAACTCTTCCAGTCGCCCTGGGCGGGCTGGGACTTACAGACCCCACAACAGAAGCAGCACCGGCCTACCTGGCATCAACGACGGAGGCGCTACGACTGCTCCGCTCCCTTGACCTACCAGCAACCGCGGCACTGGGGGCCAACAACACCCTGCAGCCGTCCGCAGCGCACTCGGTAACCATCCAGGACATGGAGGGGCGCCTGCCACCGCTGGCGCTACAAAACCTCCGGGAGGAGCAGCAAACCCCGTCCCAAGACCAGCTGCAACGCGCCCTCTCTCAGGAGGTGCACGCGGCAAAGGCCGACGCCTTGACAGAGGAGTCACGCACCATCCAGTCAGCCCCCGAGATGGGTCACTCACTCCGCCTCATCAGCCTGAGAGGGGAGGGAGCGGGAGCATGGCTGCAGGCCCTACCTTTGACCCCGGACCTTTGCTTCTCACCGGGACAATTCCGAGCAGCCCTGGCCTTCCGCATGGGCATCCGACAGAATGTACCCACTGTGTGCGAGTGTGGAGAACTCGTAGCCGACTGCAGCCTACCCAACCACCTACTCCGCTGCAGCACAGGCCCCGACAGGACACGCACACACAACCAGCTAGCTTTTGCCGTGGCTAAAATGGCAAGGGAAGCAGAGCTGGTGGTATACCTGGAGAACGCCATGTACTCACCGCCGGATGACCCGAAGAAAGCCGATGTGATTGTACGCGACCCGGACAGTGGAGAGACTTGGATCACAGACACCACTATCACAGACCCCGTGCTGCAGAACCGGGACCCCACAGCCCGCAAACCCCCAGGCTGGGCTGCTAGAGAGGCACAGAGGCGGAAGGAGAGGGAGTACTACCGACACACGGAACACGTGGTGTTCTGCGCCCTAGCCGTCGAGACCTACGGGGCAAACGCGCCCACCACGACTGCGTTCCTGAAGCTGCTGGCCACAGCAGCAGCTAGGAACCGGTTCAGGGCCAACCCCTTGGCGAAATCGGCCAAGAAGATGGCCTGCCACTTCAGCCAGCGCTGGTCAGTGGCCCTCCAGCGCTCCCAGGCGAATGCCCTGCACACCAAGGCCAGGGCTGGGATCGAGGCAGCGCACCCCCAGATGGCAGCGGACCCCTGGCCGCTGCACCTGGGGGACATCCTCCACACGCTGGAGGGCTAGAGGGTCACTCAGGGGGGGGAGAAGAGTGGTGAGTTTTGGGGCTTAAGGGATGGAGGTTATCATGGATAGCACCGCATGTTTGTACCCCTGCTGAATTAATACAAAGGACCGTTTGAGAGAGAGAGAGAGAGAGAGAGAGAGAGAGAGAGAGAGAGAGAGAGAGAGAGAGAGAGAGAGAGAGAGAGAGAGAGATCCCTTGGCCTAGTACTTAAGCCCTGGAGCTATGTTCCAGAGCTCATTATTTCCAGCTTAGTTGTGTTCCTTCTCTTGTGACAACGGGAGAGAGAGGAGATCCCTTGGCCTAGTACTTAAGCCCTGGAGCTATGCTCCAGAGCTCATTATTTCCAGCTTAGTTGTGTTCCTTCTCTTGTGACAACGCCTCGCGCCGGCGGCCTTCGGCCGCCGCCGCTCGCAAGCGCGGCCTTCGGCCGCGCGTTAGGGAATGGCAAGGGAGATGACGACAAGACTATGCAACGAAGAGGGAGGCCACAACAACTAGGACAACCAACAAGGAGAACAAGAACCTAGCAAGATGACAACACCGGGCATACCGTCGGCGACACTATGCTACCGCCGTCGACGCCGCCTTACAACAATCACGACATCTCCGCGCGCCGCAGGAGCCGCTCCGTCGTCCCGTCAACAAGGCGGAGTGCTGACGCGAGGCCTCGCAGCACGTCTACGGCTGACCGCGAGCGCACTCGCGACTCCACCACCCTCATCACGTCGGCCACCGCCGCGCCCAACGCAAGCTCTCCGTCGGGCTCCATTTCAGCCCGCTCCAACTCGTGCTGCAGCACCCACGCGCCATCCCGACTCCCCCGCATCTGCGCGTGGTTCATCACGCTCACCTCCTCGGGGACATCCTCCAGAGCCGCAGCAGCATTGTCGATCATCAGACCAACGAAGGCCACAAACGACCGCACGTGGCCCAGACGAACGAGCACATGAGCCTCCACCTCAAGCAGGCGGTGAACGTCTGCACGCCGGCGGGGCAGCGCGCCCACCGCCAGGCGGGGAGCCACTCGAATCCCAGAGTGCCGACGGGCAGCAGATCGCCGAGCGGGAGAGGCAGGAGGGGATTCAGCCTCCACCCCCGTCCCCACTGCAGCTCCCGCCGCCTGCATTTGAGAGCCCAGAGGACCACCTGTCTGCGCTGCTTGAGGTGGCTGGTGAAGCGTGGGAGGAGGCGGAGGCATTCCGTACAGGGGGAGCTCAACACGGCGACCATCTGCAGCCTCCGCAAACGTTTGATACACGGGGGGGCCACCCCCCGCAGGCACACACCACACCCCAGGCGGGAGACGCAGAGGAAGCGGTGCCACGGCGGGCTGTCCCGCCAAGGATTGCGGATCTGGGCGCGCGGACGATGGAACTTGCTGAAAAGGGAGTTGTTGATGATGGAGCTGTTGAGGAAGGAGCTGCTGCGGGGGGAGCATCGGAGTCGGGGCGGGAAGAGGAAGAGGAGGTACAACGGCTGGAGGATGAGGCGCCAAGTCGAGTGGGGGAGGCAGCTGGCTCGCGGACGGCACGACGGGAGCATCTGGACGCGATAACGAGCGCACCCTCTCACCCAGCCCTCCGAGAGCGCGCTCCACGGCGGCGGTCACGGCCGCAGTCGCGGCTGCAGTCACCGCAGCCACAGCAGGAGCAGGCTGATGGGCGCGCCATCGGCGGGGAGCACGGCGGGAACGCGACTGGCCGCTGCCGCCACCATGGTTTCGCGGGGGCGGAGACGGGCGACGAGGCGACGCAGGGCGCGGAGAGTCCGGACGAGGGGATTCGCGACGACGCGGAGACCCCCCCCGCGGGGACCGAGGGCGCGGAGACGACGCCTGGGGTCGCGAGCCCCGTGCGACATCAGGCCAGAGCGCAGGAGATGGCGACGGGAGACGCGACGGCGGGCTCCGCCGCACCCCATGAGGCCGCGACAGCGAACGCTCCCGCCCACGGGTTCGCGAGCCCGCCATTGCCACGCACGGGAGCGGGTCGTCAATGGTGGACTCCGCCCGCGCGCTCCACGTTGCGCCCCGACGCGAACGCTCCAGAGCGACGTCCTGCGTCGGTGCCGGTCAGAGGGCGACGCGCGACGACGCACGGGCGCGGAGGCCGCGGACAGGGCCGCCGTGGTCGAGGAGAGGACGACGCAAGCGCTACTTCGCGAGGCGGAGGAGGAACCACGGACTTCAGGCGTGTAACGCGGCGGCTGCTAAGGGAGGCTGAGGAGGGAGGAAACACGGAAATTGTGAATGACGAGAATGATCAGGGTGACCCCCTTTTTACACTCGATGGGGAGGGGAACTTGGAGCCCTCGTCTGAGGACGAGAGCTTGGAAGAGCTGGAGCCCAGATCTGTGAGACACCAAGTTTCCAACATCCGAGCCGGATCTGGAATTCCCCCGCCACCAAGCCAACCGACTTTTTCGCCAACAGACCTGGCGAAGCGCAGGGACCTTTTCGACCAGGTTTCCACCTGGGACCTGTCCCACCTGAGTGATAGCCGTCAACCAAGCCTGGCAAGGCACCCACCCAAAGCAATTCGCGAAGCCTTCGCGACATGCCTCCTGACCCCCCTCCTTGCCCTAGCCTCCAACCCTGACTCCGAACCTGCCTGGCGACTGCTGCTGTTCCTCCCGCGCCTAATCCTCCGTGTCCCCAGCACCAAACGTCCAGATTGGCCAGCCTGCAGCAGCCGTATCCTATCATTTAACCGCGGGAACTGGCAGGAATTGTACGAGGAAGCGGCCAAGGCTATTCAGCTCCCAGCCCAACCCAGACACACCACTGACGAGATTGGTTGCCTGGCCAGAGCTGAAGGCCTGGCCAAACGCGGGAACCTGAGAAAATCCCTCCAGGCCCTCCAGGCCACTCCTGTGGCCCCCACCACACCTGACACTCTGGCTGCCCTACAAGCGCGCCACCCTCCTGCCGAACTACTCATCCCTGACTGGGTTACCAGCCAAGCCACTGACACCCCACCACTCATACCCCTTCGCGACTTCCGCAAAATCATCGCCAAATGCCCCAACGGAGTTGGAGCTGGGCCCTCAGGCACAACCTTCGAACACCTCCGTGATGCTGCTCTTGGGAACCCAGATGTATGCCAACACCTCCACGCACTCACCAACACGGCTCTCGCAGGCCAGCTGAGTCCCGAGGCAGCATCGCTACTCACAGTCTCACGTCTGGTTGCATTCGTCAAACCTGGAGGAGGGATCCGCCCCATAGCAGTTGGCGAGTGCCTTCACCGCCTTATCGCGAAATGTGCACTTTACCTGACCAGCGCGGCCGCTCGAGACTTCTTCACACCGCTCCAACTCGGCGTAGCAGTACCTGGGGGGACGGAAGCTGCCATCCATATCATCCGCACATACCTGGAGGAAAAACCTACCGCGATCGCACTCCAGATGGACATAGCCAATGCCTTCAACGCCATAGAAAGAGCAGCCGTCTTCGAAGGCCTGCAATCCACCCCACTCGCCCCCCTGCTCCCCTTCGTTAGACTCACATACGGCTCCGCCTCCACACTGCAAGTGGACGCGGGCTTCAACGCAGCTTCTCCAACAAGCGCGCGTGGAGTCCGCCAGGGCGACCCAATGGGGCCGCTACTCTTTGCGGCTGGTATCCAACGCTCACTTACCGCCACCGCCGCTGCGTTTCCGAACATCGTCATCATCGCCTACGCCGACGATATCACATTCCTCGGCCCCGCGTCCGCCTGCACCTCCGCCTTCAACCACCTCACGGCCGACCTCCTCCCCATCGGCCTGGCCCACAACCCTGCAAAGTGCGCAGCCTGGTCACCTGGCCCCATGAACGACGCCGACCTCCCCACTGGGATCCGCTTCAACCGCGCCGGCTTGCGGGTCCTCGGCAGCCCAGTCGGAACGGCCGACGGCTGTGCCACGCAGCTGCGGGAAAAGCTCGCTACAGCAAGCTCTCCGCTGCCACTAGTGGGCCGCATGGATCCCCAACTCTCCTACCTCCTGCTCACCCGCTGCATCAGCCGGAGAGCCTCCTTCCTCGCCCGCACCACACCTCTGGCCCTCCTGCCCACAGCTGAATGGTCCGCGTGGGGTGAACGACTGCTACACACTCTGCTTGCTGCGGCGCAAATCTCAGAGCCGCGCGCGCAGGCGGAGAAGGAACGGATCTGGAACCAGGCCAGCCTCCCCACCACCATAGGAGGCCTGGGACTCACCGACCCAAGCACGGAAGGCTCCTACGCCTACCTGGCGTCGGCCGTCGCAACGGCCCACCTCCTGCGCTCCCTTGGCTCCAAGCTACACCAGGAGGTGGCTGAACTTGCGCCACTGCTCGACGCGGACCCTACCAATCCAGCCGCACTGCCGCAACGCCTGGCCGCCGCGGAAGCCAGCCTTCCCCCCTCAGCAGCGGCTGTGATGAAGGTCGGGCGAGAGAAGGGGGACGGGCTGAAGCTGCAACACGCACTGGCGCTGCACGTCCACTCGGCTAAGGCTGTCGCCGGCGTCCGCAGCAGCCGGCGCATGTCCCCGAACCCGCTCATGGGCCACACGCAACGCCTCCTATCCCTCCTCGGACCAGGAGCTGGCGATTGGCTGGCGGCACTGCCCCTGACGAGCGCCCTTCGACTCTGCCCCGCCCACTACTCCCGATCCATCCTCTTCCGCTTGGGCCTCCCCCACCCAATCCCGCGCCAATGCGACTGCACCAAGGCTGTCAAGATCCTGGACAGCCGCTTGCCAAACCACCTGCTGCGCTGTGGGACAGGGAAGGGACGGACGAGCACGCACCATGCCCTGCGGGATGAATGCGCACGCATAGCCAAAGAAGCTGGTTACACAGTCCACAAGGAAACAGCGCAGTATACGACGGTCGAAAACCTATTCGCGGACTTCTCGATCCGCGATCCCATCACCGGCCGTATACACATCTGTGACGTCACTGTCACCGACCCCATCTCAAAATGCGACAAGTACGCACGAAAAGGGACGGGGTGGGCTGCCCGTGTGGCCGCAGACAAGAAGACGGACAAGTATGCAATAAGGAATGACTGGGTGGGGTTCATCCCCATGGCGGTCGAGACCTACGGCTGTACCTCACCGGGAGTGTTCGAGTTTCTGAAGATGTGCGCTGACCTGGCCGCCAAGCTGCGTTTCAACGCCCCCCCTACCTCAGCGGAAGCAGCCAAGCTGTTCCACGAGTACAGGCAGCGCTGGAGTATCACCCTGCAGCGCGGGCAGGCGCACGCCCTCAATCTGAAAACTCACACTGCCATGGAGGCGGATGAGGCTGGGATTGCGGATGCCATCGAACCCCTAGCTGAAGGTTACCTGTTTCAACTCCTAGAACCCCCGCTTGGACCCTTTGTGGACCAGGCGGGTGGCGAGTAGGATGATTGCCTCACCATCAATCTTGCATGCTTGTATGCATAGTGCTTATTAATACAACGGACCATTCGAGAGAGAGAGAGAGAGAGAGAGAGAGAGAGAGAGAGAGAGAGAGAGAGAGAGAGAGAGAGAGAGAGAGAGAGATCTTAACCGAGTGGAGGTTGTTTGGGAGGCGCGAGGGGAAGCACCAAGTGGAGGGTTCGTCTGAACCCAACACCAAGCCCCGAGGCCCTAAACCCCTGAACCCGAACCCTCTAGACTCACCTCATGGAAGATGCAGTCCAGGATGCAGTACACGTGGGCGCCAGCCGCAATACCAGGAGCCCTGGCGCCGTTGGGTAAATGCGAGGGGAAGCGGTGGAGAATCCGGCCGTTGCGCAGGCGGCTCACTGTGGTGCCGTTGGCAGATACCACCAAACAACGCCGCCCATCTGGCCGTGGCATTACAAACCTATTGAGGCGAGGTGGAATTGGGAGGCAGAAAAAGGGGAAGCGAAGCAAGGAGAGTAGGTTGAAGTGGGGGAAATGGGGGATTGCGAGAGAACGAATGGGGTGGAAACATCAGATATGGCGGGACAGTGTGGTGGTGTTGTGAGGCAGTAAGGATTGAATTGAAGAGCCAGATATGTTGGGTTTCACGCATTCCTGAAACCACAGGGAGAGCCAACAACGTTGCAAGGCACGCCACAGGGAAAATCCACTTGAGAAGCTGACCAATCAGAGACGAGGGAGGGATGAACGAATCAAAGGCCGGAGAGAACTGACCAATCAGAGGCGAGTCGAGGCGGAACGTCGACCATCCATTCAGGCAGCATGAGCTGCTGCGCGTACCACTCCCTTGCACCGTCCGATACCCCTCTCTCTGCGTCAACCGCGCCCCCACTCTCTCCTCGCCCTCCTCTGCCCCCTCTTCCTCCTGCTCCTCCCTTTCCTCTTCCCCCGCCAGCCTCACCGTGTGGCACAAACAGACACCTCATCTCCTGTTCAATCCCCACAACGCCTTCACTGTCCCCCTCCCCATCCCCCTCCCCGTCCATCTCCATACCTTCCCCTCCCTCTTCACGCACTGTCCTAAACACCCCCTCCCCGTTACCCACTCCTCCCAACACACGCCCCTCCTCAGTGCCTTCCCCTTCGGCAGCATCAATTCTCGCTCCAGTAGCAAAGGGTTCTCTGGTAGATCCAGACGCATCAGATCCTAGGCTGACTAGCTCGATCCTTCTCCCTGAGCCGTCGATTCTGAACCCCTCTTGGTCGATCCTCGTCCATTGACCAGACGCCTCGTCGAACTCGCATATCTCTGGAAGCAGCGGAGAAACTTCTCTCGTCTCTGGCGCTGCGGCGGCAGACTCGCGCGCCTCGACCTCGTCAGCGAGAGTCACGGCGCCAGTTGCGGCGAGAGCCACGTGGCGCGCGTGCAGTTGCAGGTCCCGCCGCGCGGCGCGCTGCCGCTCCAGAGCGAGCTCGCGCCGGCGTTGCTGGTCGGTCGCGCCGTGCCGGCCGGTGGGCTTGTGCGGGCGGACGGGGGACGGCGCGGCGGGATCCGCGGGCGCGGAAGCAGAGAAAATGGGGGGATTGGCGGATGCGGAAAAAGGGGACGATGCAGGGAAGGCTGCGGAAGGCGGAGACGGGTTGACTGCCATGGCGATAAATTCCCAAAATTCGGAGTGCTGAGAGCTTGCTGATCGGCGTTCGCCCGAGCTCGTCCGCGTGCGGTTCTAAAGCATGTAATTCTAGCGAGAACACCTGTGTCTTATTGCGTTACGGGGGGGAATGATGTGCTTCGATGGCTGCACGTGGCATATTCAGCAACATTTAGGTTGTCACTCGGGAATTGAGTCAGAGTGAAGCAACTGAATGGCGTATGGTGACAGCAAATCGCGTCACGGCAATATCTAGGTGGATCGGTCTACACAAGTGGGGACAGGCAAACGATCAGACAGCAAATCGTTCAAAGGCGTATATCAGACAAGCCGGCTGATCCAAGTCAATCGGCTTCAGCTAACGAGATTAATGAACGAAGTAGAGCGGCAGGATGAGTCGCTAGCATGACAGCTCGCTATCGTTTGGAGTTGAAATGGAGGGATGACTCTGGACTTCGAGGGAGGAGGGAGGAACTTCGAGCTTCTCGAATATGGTCTGGACTCTCGAGTGTTCTGCAGCAGATGTGTGTGACCGTGTCAGTATTTTTCCAATGATTCGGGAAATGCCGATCGGGGTGCCAACATCATTTACCGAAAGTTCGGGTGCGAAACTAAGGTCAGGGTGCTGAGCTCTGGTTTTAGATAAACGTCAAGGGCTCAAGGTGATCTTGAACACTGACCAAGAGGCTAACGAATAGTGTAATGGAGGTTAACTCATTGGATACCAGAACCTATTTCGCGGATCCTCATGATATCTCAACGGACAAGCGAGTCCGTCGACCGACCGTCGACCTCGTTTCGTTGAGACATTCCCCAAGGTTATGCTAAGCATGTCTAAATGCGAGGCTTGAAAGCTAAATTGATATATGTAGAAGGTTTGACATGAGACAGAAATGCGCCCTCAGCAATTTGAGCCACCAGACGGAAATCCATTAGGGCGGGTCCAACAATGCATGTATTCGCAAAAAACCCACCCAACCATCTGTTGTTTTAAATAGACCGCTCTAGATTAAGCCTAAAACCTTTCCAACCGCATTTGGACAGACTCTTTGGACCCGCCCTTAGTCCCCTTCACATATGGTTTTATGACGCGGGATACCCAAGGTATGGTAGCCTTTCTCCCGTGATCACGATGGTCCTCGTTTCACTCGCCAGGAATGAAGTATATCCTGGCATGTTAGAAGCGTAAGGTAGGTTCCTCATAGCCGTAGCAAACGGCTGGTAACCACGAAGGTCCTCATTTTACTCGTAAGGTAGGTTCCTCGTAGCCCTCGGGCGCGGCTGAGCGCGCTCTGCCATTTCAAGCAACGGAAACTGCTGCTTCGCCCTCTTCACACAACCCGATTTCCTTCCTCGGGAACTACGGGATTTTGAAATTCTCCTCGTTACAGAAGCGTCACCTCCGTTTCTGTCATGACTCGCACGTTCATCCGCACCTTTCACCCGCGCAATAAATTAGTAGTCTATCGTTACTAAGGACGTTTTTACCGATGAGGTGCTCCTTCCGCGCTCTGCTCGAGGTTTGAGACATTGGCTGACTCGCGGATTAACCCGTAGACTATTACTGAGGAAGAACCGTATTTAGACGTTGTACGGACATTCCCCAGCGGCTTTTAGCTGTCTCCTCGCTCTCTCCTGTGGTTTTAAGACGGATGTCATGGCTCACAAATTGATCCGTAGATCGTTACTAGGGAAGGCAGTCCCGCATCCACTTGCTGCTTTCACCCCGTCTCTCTCTCCGAGGAGCAGTCCCCCTCCTCTAGTTCTGAGACGTAGATTAATATGGAGATTTATTTCGGCGCTCCCTCCGCCTCTTTTCGTCCTCCTCACCCTCTCCCTCGCCGTTTTTGCACAGCAGGTCAGAACAATTTCCCGTTAATGGCATCCCATATTAATAGTTCCGTGTTCGTCGCGAGCTCGATTGCTCAGTTCCTCACCGGCGCATTCACACTCTTGTTATCCAGAGAGCATTCCGCCATACCACAGTACGCATGCGTTTCGCCTTCCTCATATTCACATCAATTTCCACCTAAATCCCCGCAATTGTTCAACGCTTTATTATCAGAATCTTCTGCCTCTGCAAATCCCATTTCGCACCAACCATTTGCAATCATAAAATATTATTGTTTCATCTTCTGACCACCCTGTAACCATCTGCAGCCGTCCACAGACATCTCAGCTCCACCATCCGATCCGTCCCTCGCTCAACTCGACTCAGAATTCCCGGGTGTGACTATAGGGAGAGTGATTCAACTGGAACGAGAGCTCGCTGCAGCATCTGCTGCTTCTCCTGCCCTGCCTCCTCCCCCCTTAGCCTCGTCAGCATCATCCAAACCTCCTTCCCAACCATCATCAGCCTTGACAGTCTCATCCGAACCAGCTGCCGAACCAAGTTTGTCAAGCCCAGGAACGGCTGAGGATGGGACTCTACAGCAACATGATGGTAGCAATACGAGCAGCAGCAGCAGCCAATCACCAGGCTCCAGCTCGGATCTTAGCATACGAGTTGATTGGTGTGTGCTCCTGCTCTCCCACCTACCCCATTCCCAACTTCCCTCCTCACCCCCTTTCTTCTCTTCCCTCCTCACTCCACCCTTTCTTCTCTTCCCTCCTCACCCCACCCTTTCTTCTCTTCCCTCCACTACCCCATTCTCTATTTCCCTCCTCAACACCTTCTTTTTGCACTTCCCTCCTCGACCCCTTATCTTCTTCCCTCCTCACTGCCCTCCCTTGAGCATCCTCAGTCCCTTAGCTTCCTGAGTATTCATTTCATCTTCGTATTCCCTTCACCACTCCATTCGCCTCGTCCCATTCGTACGAGCGAGATCCCAACTGCATTCCAAGCTGTTCTCCTCTTTCCCATTCTCTTCCCATTTACCTGCCAGGGGTCGCTAGGGGTCACCAGGGGTCGCCAGGGGTCGCCAGGGGTCGCCAGGGGTCGCCAGGGTCGCCAGGGGTCGCCAGGTATCAAAGGAGCAGCGGCTGTTGGAGCTCACAAGAGCAAGGCAGGAGGGGCGGTGCGCGTACTTTCCCCTGACCAAGTATTGAGCTCTCATTTCGTGACACCCCTCCCCATTCATTCCCCATCTACCTGCCAGGGGTCGCCAGGTATCAAAGGAGCAGCGGCTGTCGGAGATTCAGAGAGCAAGGCAGGAGGGGCGGTGCTCGAACAAGGGGGGTCTGTTCAACGCGTGGCCCTGGGAGGGGGGCTTCTCTGAAGGCTTTCTAGCGTGGGAGCCGCAGCCTGACAAATACATTCTCATGGACTGCCAACGGAACCAGGTATGTGTGAGAGGCGGGAGTGCAACAGCGCAAGGGAGCAGGGGCAGTGCTCGAACAAGGGGGGTTTGTTCAATTCGTAGCCCTGGGAGGGGGGGTTCTTGGATGGCTTTCTAGTGTGGGAGCCGCAGCCTGACAAGTACATTCTCATGGACTGCCAACGGAACGTGTGAGAGGCAGGAGTGCAACAGCGCAAGGGAGCAGGGGCAGTGCTCGAACAAGGGGGGTTTGTTCAATTCGTAGCCCTGGGAGGGGGGGTTCTTGGATGGCTTTCTAGTGTGGGAGCCGCAGCCTGACAAGTACATTCTCATGGACTGCCAACGGAACCAGGTATGTGTGAGAGGCGGGAGTGCAACAGCGCAAGGGAGCAGGGGCAGTGCTCGAACAAGGGGGGTTTGTTCAATTCGTAGCCCTGGGAGGGGGGGTTCTTGGATGGCTTTCTAGTGTGGGAGCCGCAGCCTGACAAGTACATTCTCATGGACTGCCAACGGAACCAGGTATGTGTGAGATGCTAGAGACGACTTTTGAGGCGCCTCAAAAGCAGCCTGACAAGTACATTGTCATGGACTGCCAACGGAACCAGGTATGTGTGAGATGCTAGAGACGACTTTTGAGGCGCCTCAAAAGCAGCCTGACAAGTACATTGTCATGGACTGACAACGGAACCAGGTATGTGTGAGATGCTAGAGACGACTTTTGAGGCGCCTCAAAAGCAGCCTGACAAGTACATTGTCATGGACTGCCAACGGAACCAGGTATGTGTGAGATGCTAGAGACGACTTTTGAGGCGCCTCAAAAGCAGCCTGACAAGTACATTGTCATGGACTGCCAACGGAACCAGGTATGTGTGAGATGCTAGAGAGCAAGAGGAAGCAAGGTAGAGGGGTGACGTTCGGCCAGGATGGGGCTGTTCACCTCGTGGTCCTGGGAGGGTGGGTTTGCTGATGGGTTCCTGGCGTGGGCGCCTCAGCCGGACAAATACTTTCTCATGGACTGCCAACGGAACCAGGTGCGTGTGAGTTGAGGGAAATGACAGGCTAGGGTTATGGTGCAAAGGGAGAGAGGGAGAGGCAGCAGGGGAGGTGTTTGGCCAGGATGGGCTGTTCAACGCGTGGCCCTGGGAAGGTGTCACGTGTAGCGAGGTTGTTTTTGAGACGTCTCAAAAACAACCTCGCTACACGCGGTGTTTTTTATCAGTTTCTGGCGTGGGAGCCGCAGCCTGACAAGTACATTCTCATAGACTGTCAGCGGAACCAGGTGGGTGTGAGAGGCTTGAAAGAGCAGGAGAGCAAGGAAGAGGGGCCAAGATGGGGCTGTTCAACTTGTCGTCTTGGAAGGGGGGTCCTCCCAACAACATGCAGAGGTTGTTGGGACGAATTCAATCCCATCACTTCATGGGGGCTAGTGTATCACTTCAGAACTCTCAAAAAACAGATTTCGCTTAACATTCCCCTCCCTCAATTTTTAGTGTGCTGGCGTTTGCCAAAAATGTTATGTAACCTTTTGGTAGAAGCAAAGTTAAAGTCAGGGATACACCAGTGCTCGTGAAGTGATGAGATTGAATTCGTCCCAACAACCTCTGCATGTTGACTTGCATTGTAAGCCAGCTAGCCAGCCACAAAGAACGAGCCGTACTGGATTTTAGTTCTCGGAATCGGGTGAGTACGAGGGGCGGGTGAGAGAAAGGTGTCCAACCGCATTCGAAGGGATTGTTGGGTTCCAACCGCTGCTTCCGCAACCACCTAACAAAGGCTGGGGCTCTTGAGCGCACGCTCGTGGATTTGGCTTCAAGCACACCCAGCCCCGTTGCGCCCTCTCTCCCCACTCCCTCCTCCTTCGAGGTGCCTCAAAAATGATTTTTGAGGCGCCTAAAAAATGGCTTCAAGCACACCCAGCCCTGTTGCGCCCTCTCCCCCCTCTCCCTCCTCCTTCCACCCCATCCCTTATCAGGTGTCCAACCGCATTCTCTGCATCCGCAATTATCTAATCGTGGCATAGGTTCTCAATTGCACAGTTGTTGATCTACCTACAACCACAACCAGCCAATGCTCCCTGCTCCCTGCTCCCTGCTCCCTGCTCCCTGCTCCCTGCTCCCTGCTCCCTGCTCCCTGCTCCCTGCTCCCTGCTCCCTGCTCCCTGCTCCCTGCTCCCTGCTCCCTGCTCCCTGCTCCCTGCTCCCTGCTCCCTGCTCCCTGCTCCCTGCTCCCTGCTCCCTGCTCCCTGCTCCCTGCTCCCTGCTCCCTGCTCCCTGCTCCCTGCTCCCTGCTCCCTGCTCCCTGCTCCCTGCTCCCTGCTCCCTGCTCCCTGCTCCCCTCTTCTTCCCCTCACCCCTCCCCTCCCCCAACCCCCCTTTACAGGTGTCAAACCGTATTCGCTGCATCCGCGATTATCTAATCGTCGCGGGGGTGCTCAACCGCACGCTCGTTGATCTGGCTCCATGCACACCCAGTCCCCTGACCCCTTCCCCCCCCCTCCCTACCTCTCCCTCCTATCAGGTGTCCAACCGCATTCGCTGCATCCGCAATTATCTAATCGTCGCAGGGGTGCTCAACCGCACGCTGGTGGCGCCGTTTCGCCCGTCGGAGGTGAACGGCAGCTACGACCGGCACGTGTTCTTCGATCTCACCCACATGCGCCGCTGCTACGGGCCCCGCACCGTCATCACTCTCGATGAGCTGCTGGCAGAGAGAAGAGCAGCGAGGAATGGCAATGGCAGCAGTGGCAATGGCAGCAGTGGCAATGGCAGCAGCAACAACAACAGCAGCAGCAGCAGCACAGCAGCAGATATAATAATAACCCAGGTGGTGTGCCCATTCACCAACTGTTACTTCCAACCAGGTTGGGGCCTCCCTACAGTCCTCCCCACACTCGGAGGCGTCTCATACGAGGCTTTAACTTTCACGGATGCCAACCTGCCTCCGGATCACTCTATCAACATCACAGATATCAAGAGAATCGGGGATTTGATCTTCCCGTCGGCTGATGTGTTTGTAATGGGGGATTTGGGAGCTTCGCTGTTTGATGAAACTTTTCACAGGCAGATTGACGTGCCGTTTTTTCGGCGCCCGGGCTGCCCGAATAAACTGGCGATTCAGCCCCACCCGGCGATCTTCGAAGCTGCAAGTCGGTTTGTAACGGATGTGCTTGTAAAGGGGATGAATGGCAGTGCAGCAGAGAGCAGCAGGGAAGGGGAGGAGCAGGGCAACAACACAGCAGCTGAGGACACGCTACCATCAGCCATTGCTGCTGCCAGTGGGGGTACCACCACTACTAGTACCAGTGGTAGCAGTGGTAAGAATGCCAGTCAGCTTCGCTACATGGCGATTCACTGGCGGCGAAAGGACCTGGTTACCAGCTTTCAGGACTCAGGCTCTCATCTCACAATCAACCGCACTGCCAGATGCATTGCCGACCGCATGGCGAAATCCGGCAATCTCAGCACCGTTTTCCTAGCCACTGACGCCGAACCTGCTGAGGTGGCGGAATTGACCGGAGCGGTTTTGTCCCACCGCCCGGACCTGCGGCTGATGCAGCTTCCGCCGAACCTGGACGCGCAGGCTTGGGCGCAGGTGCTGCTGCCGCACCGGTTTGAGCATCCGGGGGTGGTGCGGGTGACGTTAGACAAGGCAGTGTGTGCTCTCGCAGACGTGTTTCTTGGGACGGCAGCTTCGTCGTTCACGGAGGACATTCAGCGAATCCGGACGGGGTTGAGAGTGGCGCATTGTGAAGACCAGATGTTGTGCGAAGACGAGCTATAGAGATGTTTTGGACTTACGGAACCATACCACTGTACGGCCGCTAGGAGATTCATTGTCAGTCATGGAGTACAGTACTTAGAATTAGCTGGGCTGGGAAGGAGGCGTCTTTCCGTTACGACCATTTCTGACATGATTGGTGAGCCACAGGTATGATGGGTTCATTACCACCTTACAACCATGCCCTGAATGCTGATTTATGCCAGACTTCCGTACTATATTGGTCACGGAACTGTCAGGAATCGTATTTGATTGCATAACAACCAATCAAGACACAGTAACCGCAATAACATGCAAGTGCTTCTATCTACAGCACTCCATTCTTCCAGGAACTGTAAAGGAACTGAGTACAGTGTCAGGCTGGAAATGAACATGCACGTGCTAAAACAAAATTAAGGCATTATATTCTCACACCAGCACATTTATGTCGACAAGAATATGAGAAAGTTCTTACAGAGAATGTAGGTAGATGTGTTACATTATTTGAAGGGTACACTCATTGAAGGCTTGCCTTGCCACAGCCTCCAGCTTGCACCACACCACATCCCCAGTCAACAAACAGAAACGAGGTCTATGCCACGTGATTTATCTCCCCTGGCAGAGTTGTTTATGGCGACGCACTGATTCGCCACAGCTGCCAGCATCCTATCCCACCAGTGTCAAGTCCACCAAAGTCAATGTGAGTCAATCAGCAGTCAAGAGCGCCCCTGCCACAGCTGCCTGCATCCCATCCCACCAGTGCCAAGTCCGCCAAAGTCAACGTGGGTCAATTAGCAGCCAGGAGGCACACCCATGAGTGCCCCTGTCACGCCACTTGCCTCCACCCGGTCCTCCTCGTTCCTGGTTTACGAGGGTGATGAGGAGTCCTCATCTCCTGGCAGGGTTGTTTCGGGCGGCGCACTGCTTCGTCACGGCTTCCAGCTTCTCACCCCACCAGTGCCAAGTCAACCCAAGTCAACCGAAGTCAATCAGCAAGAGGCACGGACATCAGAGCGTGAGCACGTCACTCATCTCCGGCCGATCCTCCTTGTGCCGGGCCGAACACTGCTTCGCCACAGCTGCTGGCTTCGGGTCAACCCAAGTCAACCTGGGTCAACCCAAGTCAACCTGGGTCAACCCAAGTCAACCTGGGTCAACCCAAGTCAACGCAAGTCAGTCAGCAAGTCAATCAGCAAGAGGCACGGACATCAAAGCTTGTGCCACGTCACTCATCTCCGGCCGGTCCTCCTTGTGCCGGGCGGAGCACTGCTTCGCCACGGCTGCCAGCATCTTGGCGCCTCGGCGGGAGAACCTGCCCTGCAGGTTCGGGTCGAACCAAGCCTCAGGTTCGGTGATGTTGGGGTACAGGTGCGGCCCCATCCAATCCACAAGCTTCACATTGCCTTCCTTGGACACAGCATCCCGGCCTGTTAGCATCTGTGGCGGGTGTGGGGACAAAAAGGGAGGAGGAAATGCTCAGCGATGTTGGGATACATGTGTGGCCCCATCCACGTTATTGAATTCACATTGCCCTCCTTGGACACAGCATCGCGGCCTGTTAGCATCTGCGTGGTGGGTGGGTGTGGGACAGATGCGGAGGAGGGAAGCCTCAGGGTTGGTGATGTTGGGTACAGGTGTGGCCCCCGTCCATGCCACGCATCAGCCAGTGCACAACATATTTGGAACAGGATGAACCCAAGGGAGTAACGTCGCTCTTCTTGTCCCGCAAGCACCCACTCTCCATGTATTCAGGGTCCAGGTACCCCATGGTTGTGTGCCCATCACACGGGTCGAGATGTAGCTCAAACTGCTCGCTGCTCTATGCTGCACGCACCCTCTCTAGAGAGCCGGAAATGCCTGTAGCAAGATGACCCCGAGGGAATAAACATCGCTCTTATCCCTCAGACACCCCGTCTCCATGTATTCAGGGTCCAGATAACCCATGGCGCCCATCACTCTCGTTGAGATGTGGCTCACACTGCTCTGTGCTGCACACACCCATGCATGCCCACCACCCCCCAATGCACCCGTCGGCCACACCATACCTGCAACAATATGACTCCAAGCGAGTAAACATCGCTCTTGTCCCGCAAGCACCCCGTCTCCATGTATTCAGGGTCCAGGTACCCCATGGTACCCATCACACACACACATGTGACATGCTTGCTACACGGATACAACACAAAAAAACAGAGTCCGCACCTGAAGCCGGATAACGCCAAGTGAGTAAACGTCGCTCTTATCCCGCAAACACCCTGTCTCCATGTAATCATGGTCCAGGTACCCCATGGTGCCCATCCCACACGTTGATTGGGATGCGTGTTGCACGGATACAACAGCGTACGAGTTGCTTACCTGTAACAAGATGACCCCTCAGACACCCCGTCTCCATGTATTCAGGGTCCAGATAACCCATGGTGCCCATCACTTGAGTTGAGATGTGGCTCACACTGCTCTGTGCTGCACGCTGCAAGACATACCTGTAGCAAGATGACCCCGAGAGAGTAAACATCGCTCTTGTCTCGCAAGCACCCCGTCTCCATGTATTCAGGGTCCAGGTATCCCATGGTGCCCATCACACGCACCCTCTTATGCTCGCACCATCTACGGGACACACATACACACCTGTAACAGGATGACCCCAAGGGAATAAACGTCGATCTTATCCCGCAGACACCCTGTCTCCATGTATTCAGGGTCCAGGTAACCCATGGTGCCCATCACTCACTCCCTCATGCATGCACCCTCTAAACGGGACACACATACATACCTGAAGCAGGATGACTCCGAGGGAATACACATCGCTCTTGTCTCGCAAGCACCCCGTCTCCATGTATTCGGGGTCCAGATAACCCATGGTGCCCATCACTCGAGTTGAGATGTGGCTCACACTGCTGGCCGACTGCTTCGCCATCCCGAAATCCGTGATGCGTGCTTGCATCTCCTGTGTTAAGTGGTATGGAGAGAAGGGAACAGGGGAGGACCAGGGGGTGCAAGGGAAGAGGGTGGAGAGCAGAGCAGTGAGTGCCACCAGCCTCTCGTGTTGAGATTTAAATCTCGCTCACGCTGCTGGCCGAGTTGATTTTTGAGTCGAGTCAAAAATCAACAGCGGGTGCAAGGGAAGAGGGTGGGGAGAGCAGAGCAGTGAGTGCCACCAGCCTCTCGCATTGAGATTTGGCTCACACTGCTCGCCGAACTCCAGTTTTGAGACGTCTCAAAACTTGGTTGACGCTGCTCGCCGAACTCCAGTTTTGAGACGTCTCAAAACTTGGTTGACACTGCTCGCCGAAATCCATGATCCATGATTGCATGTCATTTCCTGGGGCAGGTGGTGGAAAAGGGGAAGATGGGATGGGGGGAGCGATGGGCAGGGAGGAGTGTCAGATTTATATGACATAGCTACTGTAGGCTATAGTGGGGTGGCACATATGGGGTACAGTTTTCTAGGGTTTACATTTGTACCCAACTTTCCCTTAGTCATTTCATTCTCGTTTCTATTCTCACATGGTATCGAGCAGGTTCCCTCGTGGGAACTGTTCCTAGGGCCCACCAATTCGACATTTTTTTTTCTGCCCGGAGCGCGCTCAGTCCTAGCCCGAGTCGCGCTCCCCCCCCCCTCCCTTTTTTCTCGCCCCGTCGCGCCGCCCTAGCGGCCCTGTCGCCTGCTTTGCGGCCCTCGCGCCGCCCTTCCTGGCCCCGACCCGCCGCCCGGCGGCCTCGTCGCCTACCCCGCAGCCATCGCGCCGCCCTTACCCGGCCCCGATCCGCCGCCCTGCGGCCTCGTCGCCTACCCAGCGGCCCTCGCACCGCCCTGCGGCCCTGACGCCGCCCTTTCCGGCCCCGGCGCCTACCTGCGGCCCCGACGCCTACCTGTGCGGCCCCGGCGCCTACCTGCTGGCCCCGCCACCTACCCGCGGCCCCGCCACCTACCTGTGCGGCCCCGCCACCTACCTGCGGCCCCGCCACCTACCTGCGGCCCCGCCACCTACCAGCGGCCCCGCCACCTACCCGCGGCCCCGCCATCTACCTGTGCGGCCCCGCCACCTACCTGCGGCCCCGCCACCTACCAGTGGCCCCGCCACCTACCCGCGGCCCCGCCACCTACCTGTGCGGCCCCGCCACCTACCTGCTGGCCCCGCCACCTACCTTTGCGGCCCCGCCGCCTCCTCTCAGCGGCCCCGCCGCCTCCTCCCAGCGGCCCCGGACGCCGCCCTCTCAGCGGCCCCGCCGAGCCGCCCAGCAGCCGAGCCGCCCAGCAGCCGAGCCGCCCAGCAGCCGAGCCGCCCAGCAGCCAAGCCGCCCAGCAGCCGCGCCGCCGAGCCGCCCAGCAGCCGAGCCGCCGAGCCGCCCAGCAGCCGAACCGCCGAGCCGCCAAGCAGCCGAGCCGCCGAGCCGCCCTGCAGCCGAGCCGCCCGAGCCGTCCTGTCCGGTAAGAGCAGCGCCTCTTTCACAGCACTGCCCTCACCCTACTGTTTGCGCTGCTAGTCTACTGCTGTCATGGCTACCCCTAGTTTTCTCTCTTTTGACGCTGAGGGTCGGGCCATTGACTTTGACGTCTGGATAGATGACCTGCAGCTTTTCTTACAGTGCGATAGGGCAGACGGCCTCTCCCTCTTTGACCTCACTTCTGGTGCCTCTCGTGCCCCCGCTGCTGATGCTGACGCCACTGTTCGCTCACAGTGGGCCACGCGCGATGCTGCTGCACGTCTTGCTGTGCGTCGCCACCTGCCTATCTCTGAGCGTGCGCACTTTAGCCAGTACAAGAGTGCTCACACCTTGTACGACGCTGTAGTTGCGCGCTACTCCTCCCCTGCCACTGCTGCACTGAGCCGCCTCATGCTACCGTACCTCTTCCCTGACCTTGCTGCCTTTCCCACAGTTGCTGACCTCATTACGCACCTCCGCACTAGTGACACTCGCTACCGCGCTGCGCTTCCTGCTGAGTTCTGCGCCAAGAACCCCCCCCCCCATGTACATCACCCTCTACTACATAGTCACCCGTCTCCCTGACTCCCTTCGCGTAG